TGGCCACGTGCCGAGCTTGTTCCATCTTCCAGCCCCGCGAAGCGGAGCGACAAGCTATACGCTTGCAGGGCATAGCGTGTCGCAGGAGCCGCCGCGGTGGCACGCTAAGCAAGAGTTCCCGATCGTAGAGGAGGAAGGGGGGATTATCACCACAATCGGACATCGGGGGCAATTACATGGGGGATAGGCATAGGGGGACCCATCGAATTCAAATGGTTGATTCATCGACGATGCGTCGACGATGCATCGTTGAATTCAGGGCTACGTATCGACGGTGTGTGCACGATGCATGGGTCGGTGTGTATCGACAATGTATCGACGATGCGTGGGCGATGTATCGGCTACTTGAGGTCGGTGCGTCCCCTAGCGTTGCCCCGCAGGGAAGCCGCGATCGTTCGAGGTTGAACGACCCGCGTGGTGCCAGCAGCCAGCGCCGCCGTCACCGCGACGCGAGCCCGCCGTAGACTGTCGGACGCCGCACGGATCTCCTGCCGTCCAGCAGTCCTCCTTCAACTCCAGCGCGCCGGCGGCGGTCGAGCAGGGGAGCAGAAAAGGCTCGCAACGTCCCACCAGTCATCCTCCTTCTCCTCCCCTCCTCCTTCCCCCCTCCTTCCTGCACCAAGTCTCTCCCGAAAAGACTCCCCCCTCCACATTTACACCGTATGAATACTACTTTCCTCTCTCTCGGGGAAATGACCGGCCCCCCTCCCGCGTACTGGTTTTTTAGACAGGATTCCCGGGAAACGGGTTTTCCGTTTGATTTTTTTCAGAATTCTGCTCTCGCTGACGCGTTGGCTTTCTTTTCGGGCCACCGCTCGTTCCGAATCGTGCTCCCGCTGCAGCGCTGGCCTCATTTCCGCGCTTCCGCTCGTTCCGAATCGTGCTCCCGCTGCAGCGCTGGCGTCATTATTTCCAGTGCCATGCCACTGCATGGTTTCGGTCCTTCCAAATAGGCCCCAAAATCTAGAAAATGGCGTCCCGAAGAACCATCGGAAGTGATTCCACATTCGGTATCGATTCCTGAAATTCTGTGGCCGTAGAAGCCCCTCCACTTTGGGGCGTCGCCACGCCATGCTATGTCATGCTATGCGTTGATCTTCAGCACCATGCTATGCCATGTAATGCTATGCCATGCTGCGACATCCCATTGTGCGAATAGAGAAAAGGTCTACGCCATGGTAAGGGGTGGGAGGGAGGGGTAGAACGTCAGATATGACGCGAGGGCACCTAACTTGTCCCCCTTCCCCCTCCCCCTCCCCCCTCGTCCTCCTCCTCCTCAGCGTTGTCGTCGTCGTCCTCCTCCTCCTCCGCCCTCTTCCTCCTCTTTCTCCTTTTCATCTGCTTCGTCCCCAACAGCGGCTCTCGACGAGGCGTGGTGGCGGGAAAGGATCCATGGACCCAGAAGCGTTCAGAGCTTCCGAGCACCTTCGAAGTGGAAACGATGATGAGGAGATGAGCAGTAGGAACATGTGAGAGCTGAGGAGAAGGAACATCAGGACAGGGGAGAAGGATGATGATGATGAGGAGGATGAGGAGCAGGAGGAAGAGGAGGAGGAGGCGGAGGAGGAGGAGGAGGAGGAGCATGAGCACGAGCAGGAGGCAGAGGAGGAGGAGGAGGAGGAGGAGGAGGAGGAGGAGGAGGAGGAGGATGGGAAAGCCAGAGCTCCCCACTGGTCGACATGACCAGAAGATGAAAAGGTGAATCGTGCGCCCCGCGCTCACAGCATATCCCCTGGTCCGAGACGGCAGCGGCAGCACAGCATGCTATGTAGTCAGAAGCAAAATATGTACACACGCTACAATACACACGCTGACAAAATAATACTAGGATGGGACTGGTCTGTGGCTCAAGCTGACCAAAACACTCCTTGATAATCTTCCACCAAAAACTGCCGGAAGTGAGGAGCAGAACAGGCAGCGAAACGACAGACAAGGGGGGGTGCCCTCGGTGGCCTCGGGGTGACGGAGCGTAGCAACACTCAATCACAAACTACTGCAGATTTACCTGAATTCTTGAGCTGGACAGAGCCTTAAGCACTCTCGTCAGGGCGTGCTCGAGCTGGATCACTTTGGTCTCGAGAGCCTCCACGCGGCTATCGAACTGAGTGAAAATGTCGGCAGCCTCAAGCCAGGAAGTGCGACTGTCGAGATTCTCGGTGGCCTCCTCCAGGGAAGTGATTTTGCACATCAGCTCGGGATCAGTCTTGGGGGCGCCGTTTTCCGAAGAGTCTCTGGTACGAAGGGCACCACTCTCATTCCGTTTCACCAAGTGTTCCAACCAGGCGGCCTGATTGTATCCACTCGAGGGGTTGAGATGAGCACAGCACCAAGAACAGTAGCCAGGGTCGGTTTACCAGACGGACTTGAAATCTTTGCCCTTGTGTTGACCGAAACCCAGTGTAGCGGCAGACGCGTCTTCTCCTTTCACACGGAGACGTGTTTTGTGAATACGTTGGGCGAAGTCTTCTCCCGTCACGGCCTGAGGCTCAGTGGGCTCTTTCTTGCCCATCGCTTTGAGCGAATGGAGCGACAAGCACCTGGAGCCTTGTCTTCGCAAGGCACCGTTGGGACACGTATTGTAGGAGAATGAGCGCTGGCTGAGCCCAAAAGAAAGGAAAGGAAGAGGCACAACTAAGTCGTGAACATGCACTGTGGTATACATAGCAACACATACTCGCAAACGTCGTCGAGTCGAAACTCCAGTCACGGTAAGTCCCTCCCACAAGTCAGCACAACCACAAAGGATCCCCTGGTACCCTGGTCGATTGTTCTTTACGCTGGGCCCCTCGCAACCGTCGGTTCTCACGCTCGTTCGCATTTAATCCTAGCACATACTGTTCGTCCGCCAGTTGGTACCTATTGGCTCTCATGCAGGCTCATAGGAGGTCTGCTGGGTCCCCTTTATCCTTAGTCAGGGCATCGGCTACTTGTCGGTTAGTGGGGCACCATCTGAAACTTGCACCACGACGCTTGATGGAATTCTTAATAACCACCACATCGATTGCACACCGTTTGTCTTTAGACTGGCTGGGGACGTGTTCGCTTTCACATGGTCGTACAGTGACTTACAGTCGGTAACGACAATTGGGTTCCCGAGTATTCATACAGGCATCGAGGTTTCCATCATCGATGGGCCCATCCAGGGCCTCATGAAGTAGGAGCGACATCCACTCTAATGCGGCGCAGAATATTGAAGCAGCCTGGGCCTCTCCGGAAAGGGTACTGGGCACAAACCGTTTAAGTCGGAAAGACCTCCAGTTGAACGGGGTCCAGGTTGCCTCTTTCCCTGCAGCCATGTCAGTCGTTGTAAACGCTAACACATAGCCCGCTTGTGTTCCGTTGTTTTTGGCATTTCCCCACGCGGCATTCAGATGGGCAGTCATCGTCAGCTGGTCGGGCGGTATCGGCAGGTACGAGATCGCAAGATCTGAGTACTGTTTGGCACGGCGTACCATCGCCGCCCCCTGGGCTAATTCTCCCATGGTGGGTTGTGGAAAACAGCTCTGGCCCAACGATACCTGTACACGACAGGTCGGGTCTGTGTTCTTAGCACACCCAGCCTCCGTCTCCGAAACACGATCGTTCCCTCGCTTTCGCAGTGGGATGCCGGAGTCGTTGTCGGCTGACACGGACCGGTCGCATTTTCTCCACGAACTTGGCCTGATTCCTTTGGATCGTTTTGGTCTCCGGGTCCTGGTTTAAGTGAGTTCCGCAAAATTCCCCATGGTGTATTTGCCATTTGCGAAACGGGAAACGTTCGCGCAGGAGTCGGATAGCCTCGGCATATCGGGACCCGTGCCCACCAGTGATACTGTCGTCCACATGGCAGGCCAATCCCCTGGTCGCGCAGGAAATACAGGCAAGGATCAAAATGGCTAGGACAGAAGCCAAGTTGTTGTAGATATCCGTCAAACTCCTGGAAGCATTCGAAGGGGGCATCGTTTTTACCATACAGGTTTCCGGTAACCTCGAGGATTTCTCCGTCAGGATGTCCGGGCTTTTTCTTGGGCAACGTGGTGAAAAGGGGCTCGCGTCTCCTGTTGTTCTTGGCTTCTGGAAACGCACAGTGGACGTCTCCAATTTACACGTCCCATTGATGGCTGGCCACCATCTGAAACATACCGCGCGGCCAAAGGGTGTGATAGTCGGGCTCTGTAGTTCCCCCTCCTGGATCAGATCGGGTAAGTCGGGATCCAGGTAACCTTTGAGGCACCATCGGGCTTTGATTCGTGTAGGTTGCCCCTCCTCTTTTTCAGTCATCACAAACCGCCCCGAGATAAACCGTTGAGTCCATTTCTCCCGGACCTCCTTCTCCTCCTTCTTTGGAACCACCCGGAGACATCCCTTCTGGATCATGTTGTCAATCTCCACGGCACGGGCAGTCTCGGCCTTGCGCAACAGCTCGCTGGAGTCGCCTCTGAAACTGACCTCCTTCCGGCTGCGGCGAGAGAACGCGCCCGCCAGAAGAGAGGTAAAGGGTTGGCGCCACACCGTGGTGTTTGCAGCCTCCATCCGCTGAATGTGCTCGATGGCTTCAGCGGTGACAGCAGCATGTTCAGGCCCTTCGGACTGAACCAGCAAGGATTCTCGGTCGGGAGACGGTGTCCGTTTCGCCTGACGTAAGATAGGCATATTCTCCATCGCAACATCTTCTGGGGCCACTAGGGGGTGTAGGATCTCGTCGTCATCGTTTCCCGTCTTTAGGTCATGGTCTTCAGGGATCAGAAGGGTCCTGGAAGATTGTTTGGATATCTGTTGAGTGACCTTCTCGATCGTTTCGTCGTAACTTGTCGTGGTGGCTGTCGTGAGGTCGGTTGTTCGTCGATTGCTCGTTTCGTCGTTACTCGCCGTCGTGGCTGACGAGGTCGGAGGCGGTCCTACTGCTGGAGTCGGCCTGGGCCCCGTAGGAGGTTCTTGGGGTACCAGGGGACCTGACACCGGCTGTGGTTCGGTGTCGGTGGGAGGCACGACGGGTCCTGCAGGTACTGGGTCCTCACTAACTGGGGCTTCCACTGGAGGGCCTTCAGAGTTGACACTTGGAGGAGCTGGAGGAAGTTCTTGTTGGGTAAGGTCTAGGAAATGTAGGTGTCCCCCGACGGTACTCAGTCGTTGTTGTTCGCTCTGGAGCACTTGCTCCACCAACTGATCCGCTTGCACCTCGCTCGTCGAGGCTGGTCGGAGTTGGGAAGAGTCTGCACGAATGAGGTGTCCCCGATGTGATAACCACAATTTGCGATCCTGTTGTCCAATGAGAATTCCGCGCCCATGCCAGCGGGCGTGGGCTTTCTTCCCCTTCCTCCAATAGGAAACCTTGTCGCCCGCTTGGAAAGGATATGCGACTCGGTTTCGGGAAGCAACGGCTCGGCGGAGGTCTTGGTCGCCCCGAGCCTGAAGTAAGGCATGCATTGCAAACTGTCGGATCTCGCGGGCTCGAGCACAGGCATTGTCATATAAGGGGCCAGAAGCGCTCACCACATCCACGGCGTCCTGGAGCAAGTCTCCGGGAAGTCGTGGTTCCTGGCCCAACACATGCTGAGAAGGTGAGTAACCGTCGACCCGCAGCATCCGCTGCTTGGCATCGGTCGTAGCATCGACGCACTCGGCCCATTCCTCATAATTCTGAGGTTGTGCTGTTTCCAGCAGCTTCTTGAAATTCGTTTCCACCACCCCCGTGTGATTCCGTCAGTCTTTCCGTTTTGCCATTGTCTCTCCCCCGCCCCAGGCAATATTTCGGTCTGTTCGAGCTCGAGGTGGTCCGTCAGTGCAGCCCCGATATTAGCCTTATCCGCATCAACCACAATACGCTCAGCAGGGCCAGCCCATCGCTTCCAAAACTGTCTGTAACCTTCACGGATTCGCCCTGGAGTAACAGCACCGCAATTTGATAAGATGATGCGTCGTCCACCATATTGAGAGCAGGGACCGTGTGCGTGGGTCCCTTCCACCCAGGGATATTGATGCCGTCGATCCCCAGCTGTTTGTTAAACTTCAGGATGCGATGTCCAGAAACGGTCCTGGAAGGCTTAGGCTTCTTGTTTTCTTCACAGACGTCACAACGGAAATTCCTAGCCAGTCGTATGGCCTCGTCGTGTCCACCCCCGTGTTTCGGTATCCGGACCATTTCCCGAGGGGCCGCATGTCCTAGGTTGATGTGTAGTTTCTGTAGAGCGTCCCGAATGTTCTGGGCAGTAGCGATGGAGGGAGGTGTCTGAGGGGAGTTTGAGGTATCCTGATCGGGCTCGGGGCCCTCCAGGCCAGCCGCCAGACAGCACTGCGCGAGCTCTGCCTCTAGCAACTGCAGCTTCCCGCGGTGGGAAGCGTCCCGCGTGCCCGTCTCCAGCGGCAACAGTGCAAGCTCCTGCTCAAACGTCAGAGGAGCGTCCACATGGGCGGCCCAAAACTGTTCGAGGTCGTCGGTGCCTCGTAGAATCGCTTCACAGAGCTCCAAGTTGTAAAGGCCTGCCCACTTGCTTCTCGAAACCCCGTTGTTTTTTCCCTCAATCGTCACATGGTCGTGGTTCCCTGGGCACCGTTTTCCCAGACATTGTGACAGTCGTTGCGACGACACCAACAGACGAGTATCTTTCTTCATATAGCATGGATCCCCCTGGTTCTCTCAAACCGTGAGCACACATATCTGCTTCCACTTCGATCATCCGTTCCCGTAGCCGTTGCATTTCGGGCATCTTCCAGGCAAAATAACGCACGGGATGTTCAAACACGGCATCGTTTCCTCGGTCGAGCTGTGCATGCATTTCCTGTATGCAGTACCGTATGTGTGCGCGTTTCTCGTACCATGCGCATGTGATCCGTAACACTGTGCAGTCGTGCATTCACCGTCGCAAAACCACTACACGTACAGGGCGGACAAGTAATCAGCACCCGGGGTCGGAAACGTTTTAACTCATTTGAAACCCGATGTTGCACCGTTCGGTCGGACACATTGTACCCAGTGCGTAAGTCGCCCGTACCACGGTCAGTGTCTTCAGCCCGTTTCAGAACCCGAGGTGGTGAAAATAGCGCAGAAACCCTCCAGGTGGTCTTCCCCCGCGAAACTCCGAGGACGTTCCGAAGTTGTTCCTGAAGATGCCAGCGAGTTTTTCGTTTCAGTACCGAGGTCCCAGGTTCCTCCTGTGTCTCCTGGAACTCCTCCTTCTCAACCTCACTGATCTTCTCCTCCTCCTTCTGGTCCTCCTTCGGCTGAAGCGTGTGCTTGGGCACGGGCTCCACAAGGTCGTGGCTGTCATCGCGGTGCAGGTCTCCACTGCCTGCCCGATCACTGGCATGATGTAGTTGCCCGAGTCTGTCTCCTCGAGTTCCACAGTGGTCTCCAGGGCGTCGAACGCAATCTGATTTTTCGTGAAACCCATGCGGCCACGCAGGGCCTTCAACAGCGGCTTGCTGAGCAACAGAGGTACATCCCCACGAACCACGGCCGCAGTGATGTGTCCAGGTACCCCTCCGATCATCACGGGAATCTTGACCGCCTGCGTGGTCTCTTCGCGTCCACTGTTGCCGAACCTGAAGACGTTGGTCTCCCCATAGAACTGGAGCTGCTGGCCCTTGGACTCCACCAGCTTCTGGAGCTTCTGAAGGTGGTTGGCACCGATGAGCGTCCTGCCGCAGCCAGGATCCACCACGCCCTTGCCGACCGGGCACGCGAAGAAGACTTCCAACACCTGCTCGTCGACGCGATGTGTTCGAAGCTGTTGTAGTACCGTGGCCAGGCTGGCCTCGTGAGCTCCTGGTCCTTCGAGAACAAGAAAGGCTGCCCCCGCACCAGTCGTGGTTGGACGGTTCGGATTCTTGCGAAACTTTTTCCCTTCTTCTTTGGGCACTCTCGGGTCCAATGCCCCACCTGTTTGCAGGAATGGCACTGGGTCTTCCGCTTGACCTCTTCCAGCTCGCGGCGGAACGTGATCTGCAATTTGTCCGCCTTCTGAAAGTTGCGGGTCTTGCGGGCGTTGATCTCCTGGCGCTTCTCCTTCCACGTGGCTGCCAACACTTCTACCAGTTCGGTCTCCTCAAAGACCTCGTCCTCGTTCTCGGATGGCTCCGGACGCTCTCGTCAGCCAGGAGCGCCTCGATGTCCGCAAATTCGTCCGCCTGCTGCTGGTGCACGGGTTCTAGCTCAGCCTGCCATGGCGGCGGATGAGGAGGGTAAAAGTCATCATCCTCTGTCATATCGGCCAAAAACGTGCCGGCCTCGGCGCGGCGTGACTTGGGTATCTTACAGGTTGGAAGCACTGCCCTGATCGCCACCTCCATGGCTTCAGCCGTGTGCTTCACTGCCTTCGCCTTCACGATGGCTCGCTGGTCAGGCGTGAACCCACACGGGTGCAACATGATCCAGGCTTGCGCTTCCGTCGGAAACTGCACATTGGCCTTGGCACTGCACTTCTGAAGCACCTCCTTCGCTCGACCGAGCCAAACTACGACGTGCTTTCCCTCACGGCCTTGTAAACCAAAAGCAGCCTCCAGGTGCTCGCCAAGAATGTCCTCCTGCTCCTTCGCTGGCCAGCGCTTCAGCAGTACGTCAAGAAGTTCCTGATCCCCGTCTTCCTTCTCGTAACCCTCAAACTCTAATCTACAATCTCAAGCGCTGGACCCCGCAGCAACGTGTAGACGAAATGTCCTCTCTGTGTGGGCTCCAACTTTCGGCACGCCATGGCCGACTTCGCCCACTTGATCCACTGACGCAACTCTTGGTGGCTACCCTGGCTCCCGTCTCCACGGAAGTACCGAAGCCCCTTCGGATCCGTGGACTCTGTGCTAGTCATCTGGTCTGTCGGCTGCTGGCGCCTCCCGGCAGGATAGCGTGCGCCTCTCCCAAGACGATGGAGCAACCACGCTCTGCTACCAATGGGAAAGCCAGAGCTTCCCACTGGTCGACATAATCAGAAGATGGAAAGGGTTAATCGTGCGCTCCTGGCTCACAGCATATCCCCTGGCAGCATGCTATGCAGAAAGAAGCAAAACATGTAAACACGCTACAATGCACACGCTGACAAGAGAATCGTAGGATGGCGCTGGTCTGTGGCTCAAGCTGACAACAACAGAGGAGGAAGAGGAGGATGAGGAGGATGAGGAGGAGGAGGAGGAGGAGCATAATGAGGAGGTGATGATGATGATGAGGAGGAGGAGGAGGAGGAGGAGGAACAGCAGCAACAGCAGCGAGGAGGAGGAGGAGGAGGAGGAGGAGAGGAGGAGGAGGAGGAGGAGGAGGAGGAGAAGGAGAAGGAGGAGGAGGAGGAGGAGGAGGAGGAGGAGGAGGGGAGGAGGGGGAGGAGGAGGAGGAGGAGGAGGAGGAGGAGGAGGAGGAGGAGGAGGGGCGGGGCAGGGGTGCTCCCCTTGCCCCCCCTCTCAGGTCACGACGAAGATGCAGACGCTGCAGGCAACGCCCGCGCAGACGCTCAAGGTGGCGCCCAGCACGGGGGCCCGGCAGAAGACTGGATTCGACAGGTCGCCAGCCAAGGCATCCGGGGCGCCGAACAGGGGGGCGATGATCATGTGTGTGTGTGTGTGTGTGTGTGTTTGTGTGGGTACGTAGGTGTGTCTGTGTGTGTGTGTGCGTGTGTGTCTGTATCTCACTAGCATGGCCGGGGTCATGATATCTCCCTGGACTTTATGGCCACTTGTCCTTATTTCAACATGTCCCCTGGCCCTCTGGGCCATGCACGTGCCTCGGGCCATGATTCGCGAACCTCCCTCCTCGTGGACGGCCTCCCTTGTGGACGCCCCCTGGAGGTACTCGCGCTCCACAACGCCTGCAGCGGCGGCGATGCCGCCGCGGTGAAGACCCTGCTCGATCAGGGGGTGGACCCAGACGCGCCGGGCGAGAAGGGTAAGACCGCGCTGATTATCGCTGCCACCAAAGGCCTTCTCCTCCCCCGTCCTTGTCTGCCTCTTTCTCATCCTTATGCTCCTCCTCCTCCTCCTCCTCCTCCTCCTCCTCCCGTTCTCTTCTCCCTCCCCCTCCTCCTCCTCGGCCCCCTCCTCTTCCGAAAGCATTCGCGAAGCACCGGGAGTCCGTGCCAACTTGAAAAACGCTTAAACAATATGTCCCCCCTCTCTGCTCCTCCTCTTCGTCCTCCTTCGCCATCTAAGAAAGCGTGGAAAGCGCAGAACATCTGTTGGGAAATTCGGGATGCACTCCCTCTTCCCCGTCCCTCGCCTTCCACTTCATCCTCCCCTCTCCCCCTTCTGAAGGTCTCTGGGGCTTTCTCCGAGGGCCCGACGAGGGCCAACCATCCCCGATCATCCTTCTCCTTCCTCCCCCTCCCGCATCCTCCTGATCCTCGTCATATTCGTCGTCGTAGTTGTCGTCGTCGTCGTCGTCGTCGTCCTCCTCGTCCTCGTTCTTCTCCTCATCTTCACCCTCAGATCTCCGACGTTTTTTTGCTGTTCTTCCTCCCCCCCACACGTCACCTCTGAATACGGGGTCCTTAGAAGTCCCGGCCTTCTACCCAGGCAGAGGAGGGGGGGGGGAAGAAGGAGAGCGGATTGGCGCGGGGAGGGGAGGGGGAAGGGCGGTCGGGGAGGATGAGGGAGGGCGCAGGGGCGGGGAGTGGGGAAGGATAGCGGAGCGGAAGGACCTCCCCTCCCCTTCTGGCGCCGTTGAGCTGCAGCTGCAGATCTAGCCCCTGAATGCGCCCCAGCATCCTCGCAGCTCTCCTCTCCGGGCGATCTCATCCTGGGTGCGCCGACAACTGTGGCCTCCCCACCATACGATACGGTCGGGCCGAGGCATAAGATCGAGGTCGGCTCGGGGAGGGTACCCTCGTGTTCCTCGCGTTTGTGGGATGCTCTTGTGCATCTTGGGGGGGGGCATCCTCGACGATTCTTCGGTCTGGCCGGCGGAGGGTCTCATGCTCTCGACGGATGCTCTTCTGTCGCAGGTCCAGCTGTACAGTCGAAGCCTATGCCACAAAACGCCCTGCTTGCCTCCAGGGTGTCCCGGGTCTCTTGGGTTTCGATGGTTTTGCTACGGAGAGCGTGACGCTCCCACGCTGAAACATCACTGGACGTCCTGGGGTCTCGGGGTTGGGTTTCTTGTGGATGGTCGAGCTCCTACTGCTAAGCGTTGTGGACACCACGCTCGAGGACCTGCGATCCGCCATGCCCTCCGTCCCCGGCGTCCCGTCGCCTCCGCTGCCCTGCCCGGCGACGAGCGGGGGGGGGTAGGACGCGGGGGGAAGATCGGACGGGGCCAGGACGAGGACAACTCCGAGCAGGGGATCGACTACAGAAGCGATCTGCTCCCAAGTTGATGTTCTCGTCGAATCCATGACACATGCGCAGACTGTTCGTAGATCTGCGCCGCATTCTGCGCATGGTCATAGACTCGACGAGAAAACCAAGTACGAGAAAACCAAGTTTGGGTTCAAAATCCATTCTGTAGTCGATCCCCTGCTCCACAGATCCGTAGCGCTCAGGAACGCTCTCGGAGTGTTGCGGAGCGCTCCGAGAAGGCCGCGGCGCTCGAGACATGCTCCAGAGCTGCTGGATCTCAGAGATCCTTGATGTATCTACCCCCAGATTCCTCTCGCTTCGCGGGGTGCACGTCCGGAGTACGTACAGTCAAGTCAAGTCGTTTTGGGGGTTCTCGGGAGTTTCGTGGGGGCGTCTTGGGCCGTCTTGGGGCTCGGGGAGTCGACGACGGCGAGAACGCCAAAATCTCTCAAAACCCAATGGGAAATCAATGATTTTTGTTTCTGGAAGCGCTCTTGGAGGTCCTCTTGGCGCCCTCTTGGGGCGTCTGTTTTTTTTGGGGGGCCCTCTTGGGGCCATCCTGTGCCGTCTTGGTCACGTCGTCGCGGGGCCTCTTGGGAGCCTCTTGGGGGCATCCCGAAGGCCTCTTGGGAGCTTCTTTGAGCCTCTTGGGGACGTCCTTGGGGCCTCTCCCCCTCCCTCCTTTTCATACTCGCTCCCCGTATCCCATTCCAGCGCCACCTCGAATGATGGGCGCCGCCGTGACCAACTTCCACCTGGCTGGCGCTGCGCCGCACTTCACCCAGGGGGGAAACGTGACAGTACACTCCAGTCGCTGTGTGGGCTTTGGGGAGCTTCTATGGGGCCTTTTGAAAGCTTCTTGGAGACTTCTTGGAGGCCTCTTGAGGGCTTCTCGGGGCCCCTTGGGGGCCTTTTGGGGGCCTCTTGGGGCCTCTTGGGGGCGTCCTGGGCCGTCTTGGGGCGTTTTTCTGCCGTGTCGCCCCTTCGGAGGCCGTCTTGGGGGCCTCTCGCGGCCGCCTTGGGGCCCTCTTGGGGTCCTCCTGGGCCGTCTTAGGGGCCCCTTGGACCGTTCTGGGCCTCTTTGGGCCGTCTTGGGGCCCTCTTGGGCCGTCTTGGGGCCCTCTTGGGGACTTTTTAGGCTGTTCTGGGGCGATTTGGGAAGCTGTTTGGGCCGCAAAGGCGAGAACGCTGAAAGATGCCAAAACCATAGGAAAATGAAGGAATTTGGCCTCTGGAGGCGCAGTTGTGGGCGCTCTTGGGGCCCTCTTGGGCCGTCATTGGGACTTTTTGGGCCCTCCTGGGCCCATCTTGAGCCGTCTTGGCGCCCTCGTGGCCCCCCAAGAGGCCCAAGAGGTCGAAATCATAGATTTTATAGGTTTAGGTAGGTTTTTGAGCCCCGGGAGGGGGTGGCCATTTTGGGTCGACGGATGTGGCGTAGCCCCTGGGGGGTTAGGGGGAGAGACATAAGAATGCAACACAATACAATATGTTGCAATTACGCAATCTTTGGATACATTGGATACGTTGCATGAAGGCGTTCGCCGGAAAACGCTGCCGGTCAGCACGTCACCTCCGGACGTGGACTCTACAGGCTCACGCCACATCCGCCGACCCCTCCATAAACTACTGCGCCTCCAGGGCTGCATTCCACGAGGCTTGTCCGAACCATGACACGGGGCTCGACATCGTTCCTGTTGCCTCGTTGCTGCTATCGTATTTTCTGGGACCCACGCTTCGTCCCGATCCGTTCCCTGGCGGCCCCCGGTGGGCTCCGAGACGGCTTCCCGCTGCACGCCGAGGGAGCTCTTTTGGCTTTTTTTGAATTGGATTGCGGACCAGAAGTTTTACGCTTCAAGTGGTGTGATTTGAGGCACATCTGCCGAAACGGAAATGGGGATGCTGATGCGGAGGATGAGAAGGAGGGGGAGGGTGGTGGTGGTGGTGGTGGTGGTGGTGGTGGTGGTGGTGGTGGTGGAGGAGGAGGAGGAGGAGGAGGAGGAGGAGGAGGAGGAGGAGGAGGAGGAGGAGGAGGAGGAGGAGGAGGAGGATATATGAGTGAAGAAGGCGACGACGGCGACGACGACGACCATGGGCCGAGGTGTTGTGGTTGGCCTCTCGGGGGTTTCCGGGAGGCAGGCTCGAGGCCGCTGGGGCGCAATTTTGGGGCCTCTAGGGGTCTCTTTTGGCACTTTGGGGGGACTCCTGGGGCCTTTCGGGGAGCTTCCTGGGGGTCCCATTGGAGTTTATTGGGGGCCATTTGGGGCATCCTGGCGGCTTCTTGGGGCGGAACGCTGGAGCTTTGGGTTTGCGTTCCCCGTTTAAGCTCCCTCTTGGGCCCGTCTTGGGGCTCTCGTGGGCTGTCTTGGGCGCCTCTTGGGCCGTCTTGGGGCCCTCCTGGGCCGTCTTGTAGCCCGCTTTGAGACTCTTGGGCTGTCTTGGGGCGGTCATGGGGCCTTCTGGGCGGTCGGATAGCCGGAAAGGCGAGTTTGTCAAAAATGTACGTTTTACGAAGGGAATGGGACCATGTTCGTGTCGGGGGAGGCCCTCTTGGGGCGCATTTTAGGGCCTCTTGGGGGGTGTTTTGGGGGCATCGGAGGCTGTCTGGAGACCATCGTTAGCGTCTTGGAGTGGTCTTTCGGCGACTCGTGGCCCTCTTGGGCCGTCTGGGAGGCGTCTCGGTGCCTTCCTGGCTCATTTTGGACCCCCCCCTCCCCCTGGCGCGCATTGTCCAGGGTCGTGCCGGGCCCGGGGGGGGGGTCAAATTGCCGGTTTGGGGTCCCGGGGGGGATTATGGGTGGGAACTATCTCACTTGCGTAGAGACTGGCAAGTGTATCTACCCCCGGACTTATTCTTAAGTCGGGCATGTCTCTCTACAAGAGGAATTTTCACAAATAGTCCAAAGTTATTCCTGGGTCGATTCTTCGACTATTTGTGGCTATGTTTGAACATGTTTTGTGCCAACTGCCGACGTAAGCTTATCCTCGTCTTGGCGTCGTCCGAGCAGACCGCGGGCCGTGCAGGCAGCCTGCCGGTGGTGGAGGCGCTGCTCGCCGCGGGGGCGGACCCGAACATCGGCTCGGAGGAGGGGGGGGGGCGGCCAGAGGGCCGAGGCAGGAGCTTGTCCACATGCACCGCCTGCGGAACCAGCCCTCTCTGACCTTGGGGGGGGCGGTGGATGTGGATTCGAGTAAGAGGGCGATTGCGAAATTAATTGAGCCCAAAGATGACAGTGTCGTCGAATCTGCAAATCACATGCTTGGAATGATCGTAGATGTGCGAGCATTCTGCGCAGTTGTTGGCAGAGTCGGCGAAACAAAATAATTTAGGGGTACATCAATTCTGTAGTCGATCCCCTACTCGAGTGATGCGTTTGGACCTCATGGGGTGCCATAGCAACAGTGTCTAGTGCAAGTTGCGTCCAGGTCCCGAGGCCCAGGGGCATCACACTTCTCTAAAACTCCCACCCCCCACCCCTCCTCCTCCTCCTCCTCCTCCTCCTCCTCCTCCTCCTCCTCCTCCTCCTCCTCCTCCTCTCCTTCCTTTTCCCTGCTCGATCTGAGGATGATAAGTGCCGCGTAGGTGTCTGATGTGCCATCCGCCTCACCCCCCACCCCCTGGTAATCAAATCTAGCCACCCGGGGTCCGGGGCGGGGCCCGCACTCAGGGGGGCGATTTTGGAAACCCTGAAACCAAAAACGTTTTCACCTCTTGGGGGCGCATCTTTTACTTCCGCCGCCTTCCGCCAGCCTTCCGCTGGCTTCCGTCGGCCGAGGCGGCCTCGTTTTGCTTCCGCCGACCTTCCGCCGCCTTCCGCCGAGGAAGAGGATGCAACTCATTCTATCTTCGAGGGTGAGGCCCTTTTTGTAACGCTCCCGAGGGCGATCAAACGGTCGCCCAGGCGGTTCACAGCGACTTGCAGGAGTTTTCAGACAGCGCACGAAGTGTCCCCAACGGCCAAAGAGATCTCCAAGGCCGCTCAACAGGGCCCCACGACGGACCTCAAAGGGCCCCGAGAGGCAGCAATCGCCCCAACCCCTTTGAACGCGTGCATTTTTACCATATTTGTTTTTGTTTGTCGTTTTTTTTTTTTCATTCCTTTCACGACGACACCACAGACCCCCTAAGGCGGTCCAAGAGGCTTCCAAGAGGGCACCAGCAAGGCCCCAAGAGAGCCCTTTAAGAGGGGGAGCGCGAGCTGACCTCTCAAGCCGTCCGCCCCAAGATGGCCCCCTGGACCGCCTGGAGGGTCCCAAAGGACCCCCAAGATGAGATGAAGGTGGTGAGAGGAGGAGGAGGAGGAGGAGGAGGAGGAGGAGGAGGAGGAGGAGGAGGAGGAGGAGGAGGAGGAGGAGGAGGAGGAGGAGGAGGAGGAGGAGGACCAGTGGAAACCCACATCAACGATGTTGAGAGTAACCCTCCCTCCAAGCTCCCTCTTCATAGACCCCTACAACGGTTCATTTCCATTGAGGGAATTGCCTCGCTGGAAGTCAACCGTCTGAAGATCCTGAAGCGTGCCAAAACATTGTTCTCGAGATTTCAACGCCACGTATCATCCTGACTGCTGCGTCTTGACGATCCAGAATCGTGCCAGAACGCCGTTTTTGGGACTTCAACACAGCGAATCAACATAACTGCTGCGCCCGCGAGAGCCATATTTTGAAAACCACCCGCCCTCAATCCGTGAAGCTCTTGCAACTTTTTAAAGCGAATGTGCGCGGCGCTGAGGCCACATTTTGAAAACGACCCGCCCTCAACCCGTGAAACCCTTGCACATGTTCAAAGCGAGTGTGCGCGGCGTTCAGGCGAGAGCCACATTTTGAAAACCACCCGCCCTCAATCCGTGAAGCTCTTGCAAATGTTTAGAGCGAATGTGTGCGGCGCTAAGACGAGAGCCACATTTTGAAAGCGACCCGCCCTCCATCTGGGAAGCTGTTGTCAATGATTAAGTTTCAGAGTCATACATGGTGGGGAAGTCTCAGGCGAAACGCCTGGCCCGCCCTAATGAGTGGCCTCGGGGTGCGACAGGGAGGAGTTATTTAGAAGGAGAAGGAATGGAGGAGGAGGAGGCGGAGGAGGAGGAGGAGGAGGAGGAGGAGGAGGAGGAGGAGGAGGGGTGGTGAAGGAGGAGGAGGAGAAGGAGGAGGAGGAGGAGAAGGTGGAGGAGGAGGAGAAGGAGGAGGAGGAGGAAGAAGGGGAAGGAGGATAAGCAGAGGAGCAGGGTGAAGAGGTGGGCAGCGGCATAGCGTCAAATGGGCGGCCCTGAGGATGGCAAGACCGCGCTCTCTGAGGCCTTCCAGCGGGGGCACAAGGAGGTGATGAGCAAACTGTTTAGCTCCACGTTCAGCAGCCTGAAAGGGGCGCCGCGGGATCTTGGACCGCTGGAGCTGTGAACGGAGGAGGGTGGTTAGGGGGGAGGGAGGGAGGAGAGAGGAAGGAAGGAAGAGGGCGAGGGAGGGAGGGAGGAGGGAGAAAGGAGGGAGGGTGGAGGAGGCAGGGTGAAGGAGAGAAGAGGGAGGAGCGCGAGGTCGCAGGCGGCAGCTCCGTTTTGACATAGAGCAGGTCTTCAGCCTGCCAGGCGTTGGAGGGCAAAACATTGCGCCTCGCCGCTGAAGCTAGAGCCCCATTTTCCGAGGCGGGAATTTATACATGACCACCGCCTGGAGGATCAATTTTCGGGGACCTCGCAGGCGGTGGATATGGACATATTCGGGCCCCCGAGGGTCAACATATATCCATATCCACCGCCCGCCTGGGCACCAGGACGTCGGTTCCCAGGGTGTGGATATGGATAAATCCCCGCCTCGCACATTTTGCAAAGGAACTGCCATCCATCCACGAAGCTGGTGCAAACTTTTGCTAAGACAAATGTGCGCTGGAGGGATAGCTCCTGGGCGGGACGGGGGCCGGGGCGGCGGCGAGGCCGCATGACGCCCGCGAGTTAGGGACAACTGCCGCGAAGGAAGGATCACTCTGGAAGTTGAGGGTAACTCCCGCGAGTTAAGGATGACACCTGTATCATGGCGCCAACATCGCAGAGCGGATTTCGTTCGGAAAACGATGGTATGGGCCTGGAGGGTCCTGGAGAATTTCGCTCCGGATTGCGAAGTGAATGTCGTGTAGTTTTTTTGGCCAGGAATGAAGACTAACAAACATCCACGTGAAATTAACTTCGTTTTTCGCTCGCCGCTTCGGGCTATAATCCACGCAGACATCCACGCAGAAATCCGCTGCAGCACGTCTGCAAGGTCGAATAACTCCCGCGAGTTGAGACTAACTCCTTCAAGCTAAGGGTAGCTCCCGCGAGTGACGGGTCGCTGGGGAATGCCCTGCTGCGTGGGCGCCCTGCCCTGCATGCAGGGCTTCGCCAAAAAGCCCCTCTCCGCGGCCGTGGGGGCTGCCCGGCCATGATGCCGCTCCGCCCCCCGTGCGCGGGCGGCGGACACGTCCGTATCCGCGCCCTCTCGGCCTGGGCTCTCTGGGGTGCGAGCCCGCGGATGCGCAGTCGCACGGGCGCGTTCCGCGCGGCGCCCCCGCGGAAAAGAAAAACGCCCCGCCTCCGCGGGGCGTCGCAGCCCAGGGCCTGGCGTCGCTCGGACGTGTGTATTTTTTCTCGGCGAGGACCCTTGAGGAACATCCTGGATCATCGAGCACGAAACCGAAAAATGCACGGGAAATGGACGTCCGAGCGACGGCAAGAGGGGCCCGGCCCGCGAGGCCGCGGGTGCGGGCATGTCTTTGCTCGTCCGCGGCTGGTGATCTCGCGTGGCTCGGCGCTCAGGGCTGCTCCCAGGCGGCAGCCGCGCGCCGGGGCGTGCGCCAGGGGCGGCTCCTCCCTCGCCCCTCCCGGTGTGCTGTGCCACAGCCACTCGGGTGGGGCGCGCCAGCCGCGTCGCCGCCGGGCGCACGCGCGGGCACCAGCGCGAATCGGCGCGTTTTTTGTTGGTGCGTTTTTTTTTTCTTTCTTTTTGTTTCCTCTCTCTCTCTCCCTCTCTCTCTCTCTCTTTCTCGATCTATCTCGTACTTTGAATGTTCATTTCTCTGTCTGTCTGTTTGTCTGTCTGTTTGCCTGTCTCTCTCTCTCTCTTTTTCTCTTTTGCCACTTTGCAGTCGCCCTCCTTCTCATTCCTCCCGCCCTTCCTCCCCTCCCCTTTCGCTCCACTCTCCATCCCATTTCCTTGTCATCTCTTGTCCGCGGTTGTCCTCTCCCCCTTTCCCGCGCTCCACGTCCTTGCATCACCCGGATTGGCGCCGCTTCTGCCCCCGCAGGATCAGCCGGCACCGCTGGAGCTGATGATTCCGTACCCCCGAATGCTCACGATTCCCTGTTGGGTGTCACGATGAAGCTCAGCCAGCTCAATCCGACAAGGGATGAGTTCTACTCGCCCGCCAAAGATTCGACCTTGACGACACATGCACTCGCCCTGGATCCAGAGGGGATGCGCGAGCAGCAGCTCAAGCACAAGATGTACTCGCTCGCGGAGAACAACAGCTCCAGTCGCAGGCCCAGCCACAGCCCCAGCCGCGCGCACTGAGCGCTTAGGGCAAGAAGGACCCGAAGCTGTCTCGGTCACGCCGCCTCCTGTCCTCCTTCTCCTCCTCCTCCTCCTCATCCTCTTCCTCCTCGCTAACTCATTTATCCTTCCTTTCTCCTTCCCTCGTGCTGAATCCGACCGAACGTGGGTTCCCATCCGAAACCTCAAGGTTGTCCCTTGGGGAACTTAGGACCTGGCAGTCACCTGAACCATTTCTGGGTACTCTCTGTCGAGAGTCGAGAGACATCGCCAACTCCACTGCGCATTTCCATACAATCGCCTGCGCCATCTGACGGCAGGTGCGTGGGGCCAGCATGCACAGGCAGCGGCACGCATGCCTCGCGCATGCGTGCGGCCACAAACGCCGCATGCGCACGCGTGTCACATAACACATGTGCCAAGCTGAACGCCCTTCCCCTCCTCTTCCTCCACCTCATCCTTCCCTCCCTTGTCCCTTCTCGTCCTCGCCCTCCCCCTTCGCTCCTCCTCCCCGCTCCTCACTCACCCCTCCTCCTCCTCCTCCTCTATTCCTTCTCCTTGTAGATAACTTCTCCCTGTCGCCCCCAGGCCAGTTTTTAGGGCGGGCCGGGCGTTTCGCCTAAGACCTCCTCACCATTTATGACTCCGAAGTTTAAACAGTGACAACAGTTTCACAGATGGAGGGCGGGTCGTTTTAAAAATGTGGCTCTCGCCTTAGCGCCGCGCATATACGTTAAACAAATTCCATGAGTTTCACGGATTAAGGGCGGGTCGTTTTCAACATGTCTCTCTCGCGTTAGCGCCGCGCACAGTCGTTTATACATTTGCAAGAGTTTGATGGATTGAGGGCGGGTGGTTTTCAAACTGTGGCTCTCGCCTTAGCGCCGCGCACTTTTGTTTTAAACATTGGCAAGTGTTTCACGGATTGAGGGCGGTTCCTTTCAACATGTGCCTCTCGCGTTGGCGCCGCGCACATTCGTCTTAAGCATTGGCAAGACTTTCACGCATTCCCATGGTCAACGTACCAGAAGTGGTGTTTTGGAAGGATTCAGGATTATGCGGGCGCAGCAGTTATGTTGATTCGCTGTGTTGAAATCCCCAAAATGGAGTTCTGACACGATTCTGGATCGTCAAGACGCAGCAGTCAGGTTGACACGTGGCGTTGAAATCCCGAGAGCAATGTCTTGGCATGCTTCAGGATCTTCAAACGGTTGTCTTCCAACGAGGCAGTTCCCTCAATGGAAACGAACCGTTGTAGGGGCCTATGAAGAGGGAGCTTGGAGGGAGGGTTCATTCCAATATCGTTGATGACTCTTGGGTTTCCGCTGGTCCTCCTCCTCTTCCTCCTCCTTCCCTCCTCCTACTTCCTCCCTTCTTTCCTTCTTCCCTCCCTCGTTTTCTTACCTGCCAGCCTACCTACCTACCTCCCGACCTCCCCCACCTGGCCGCCCTCGAGCCTCGGGCGCCCTGTTTTTGCGCCTGACGCCTCGCTGGCGGCACCCGCCGGGCTGGTTGTTTGCTGGGCCCGAAAAAGGAGCCTCAGCGGAGGAGGAGGGGGAGGAGGAGGAGGAGGAGGAGGAGGTGGAAGAGGATGTGGATGAGGATATGGAGACTACTGGCGAAGAGGAAGAGGAGGATGAGGAAATTATGATGATGATGCCGCTGATGATGATGCTGCTGCTGTTGCTGCTGATTATGATTCTGATTATGATGATGATGGTGATGATGATGACGATGATGCCGATGATAATGATTATGATTATGATAATGATGATTATGATGATGATGTTGGTGGTGGTGGTGGTCATGATGATGATGCTGATGATGGTGGTCGTGGTCATGATGCTGCTGATGCTGATGATGGTACCGAGGATGGTGATGTTATTGTTGATGATGATGATGCTGATGATTATGAGGATGTTGTTTCCGATGATGGTGATGGTGATGGTGATGGTGATGATGCTGATGCTGATGTTGATGTTGATGTTGATGTTGACGATGATGATGATGATGATGATGATGATGATGATGATGATGATGATGCTGATGCTGATGCTGATGCTGATGATGATGATGATGATGATGATGATGATGATGATGATGATGCTGATACTGCTGATGGCGATGATGACGAGGATGAGGTGGAGGAGTGGGAGGAGGAGGAGGAGGAGGAGAAGGAGGAGGAGGGGAGGGGAGGGAGCTATAAGAAGGATGAGGTACTGGAGGAGGCTGGAAGGAGGATGAGAAGGAGAAGAAGCACCAGTGTAAACCAAAGGCTTTTCAACGATGTGTGAATAAACCCTCCCTCCAAGCTCTCTCTTTGTAGGCCCTTACAAGGGTTCATTTCCACTGAGGGAAGTGCGTTCGAAGATCTTGAAGCGCACCAAAACACTATTCTCGGGACTTCAAGGCCACGGAGGATGAGAAGGATGAGAAGGATGAGGATGAGGATGAGGATAGGTATGATGATGATGATGATGATGATGATGATGACGATGACGATGATGATGATGATGATGACGATGATGATGATGATGATGATGATGATGATGATGATGATGATGATGATGATGATGATACGATGCTGATGATGATGATGATGATGATGATGATGATGAGGATGACGATGGTGAGGATGAGGATGATGATGATGATGATGATGATGATGATGATGATGATGATGATGATGATGATGATGATGATGATGATGATGATGAGGAGGAGGAGGAGGAGGAGGAGGAGGAGGAGGAGGAGGAGGAGTAGGAGGAGTTAAGTTAGCCATGCCGAACGGGGCAGCGGGTCCCG